AAAAAAAAAAAAAAAAAAAAAAAAAAAAAAAAAAAAAAAAAAAAAAAAAAAAAAAAAAAAAAACACCCATAAAACGCTCTGCAACACAATCAACTAACCATCTTCCCTAAATCATCGATCCAACATCACAGTTATGGATATGGCTGAGAGAAGAAAACAAAATAACAAAAACCTTAACGATGCTGGGGTCGAAAACCACGTCAGCTCTGTTCTGAAGCAAAGCAACGGAAGCCGTCAAAACGCCATTAAGCCCCCTGAGAGCCGATTCGACGGAATTAGAACAAGCAGCGCAGGTCATCCCAGAAACTGTGACCTGAACCCTCCTCATAGTTTCCCCAATTTCGCCCAAATTCTCCTCCGGGCTCTCGTAGGAATCAAGCAAGCGCACATCCTCGAGATCCTCGGAAAGCTCAGGAGGCGCGGAAATAGCCGAGGGACGGTGGGCGACCTGGGTGAGCTGCAGGTCTCTGAGGCCCGGCGCCATTGAAGTTAGCCGTGCAAAAACGAAGCGGGAAATGAATCAGAAACAGAAGAAAAAGAGGGAGGAGGACAGAAACATAGAGATTGGCGGAGATATTTATTGAAGAGAGAATGGGAGACTTTTCCCCGAAGAAGAAGAAAGGTTGAGACGGCAATTTTGTAACCAAAGCTGGTGAAGGTGGTGGGACAGCAATAGTCACAGAGGGATGGTGGTGGGAGGAAACTTTTTACGTTTCCCATTTTACCCCTCCCAACAAATCGTACTTCTTGTACTCGCATGCCCTCCTTTTCTTCTTACTTCTTGTACTGCCCTCGTCAAAACAATAATATTGCTTTAAAAACAAAAAAAAAACAAACTTTAATTTATTACTTCAAATTCTTTAGATTCAACCCTCAAAATTATCCTTCAGTTTATTTATTTATTACGATAAATATTCTTTTTAGTTAAAAAAATTATTGACGTTTTCTATGATCAAATTAAAGATAAATATGATTTTTTTTTTGAAAAACGTACTAAGGGGTGCTCTAGCATGGTCCCACATTATTATAAGAAATTCAATTGTTAACGAAAAGTTTGTATTATTAATGGTAAGTTGCAGTAAAAATAAAAGCACTTGCCTTCAAAAGGGTGTAAGCTTTAATTCGATCGGATTATTATTTTTATTTCTCAAACATTTATGGAAGTAAAATGCAATTGTAATGGTGCAATTGAGAATATTGAGAGAAAAGAGGGACAGGATTGGAATTTAAAGATACGTAAAGGTAATTGTGTGGTATCCTTGTGTAATTCCATTGTCGTTTCAGACACGGTGACGCCGTTGACCGTTATCTGACGGACGGTCATCACTGTAGCCGATAACAAATGAAAACTTACATAAACCTCTAAGGTCAAACAGTGTATTTTATTTATCTTTTAAAGTTTTGTTATTTCTATTTTTCTAATTCACATAAATTTCACATCAAATCCCCAACATTTTTTTCAATTCATTTTTTATGTTGAAATTATTTATAATAACAATAATATAATTAAGATTGTTGTAATAATAGTAACATTACATGCATTTATACTCTAAAAATATTATTGAAATACTCTATTTTTTATAAATTTATTGTGAGACCAATATTCTAAGGATATGAAAACTTTTCGTATTTTACGGCTTTGAAGGAAAGCCCAAAATAAAATTTTAAAATAATACAATATACGCTAGTGGTGGATTTGAACTATTACATCTATCTATTTCGACGTTGATTTTATTGGACGAGTAAACTTAAACTGTTACGTTTATGTTTCTCAACTCTTCTATTAAAAATAAGAAATGCTTTTCTGACTCCGTCCCATCCAACTGCTATCTCTAAATCCAGTTCGATTAAAGTGATGATAGTCAAATGTGTGGAGAATATATAATTGAAAAGGTGACTAAATTTCCACCGAAAAAAGGAAACATTTATAGAAACAATGTATATGCAAGAACGTCTAAAAAACACAAGAAGATAGTAAAGATGGAAAATGAAATGCCTTTTTTATTACGTGGAATCCATGTATTTTTCTTTTATAATCATCACAACCTTTTGTTAGGATTGGGTGACGAAATACATCTACGATATAGATTTTCTTAATTTATTATTTTTTTCGATCAGAGAGTCAAATAAAACATTGTAAAAATGGACAATATCTTGTAATGGTAGTCTTGGACAATTACAAATTTTTTTTAAACGTACGAAGATTTAAAAGGTATATGTTTTTAAGTAATTTATACGGAGGATATTTGCGTTGAAAAACTGGCCTCTAATCCAATGACTAAGCTATTTTAGTTAATTTAAATACAAAATAAGAAAAGCTAAGAAATTTAATAAATTTATAAGTAGTAAATAAAACAAATAAAAAAAAAATCTTGAATGGGACAAACTAAATTTAGGGACTATTACGGTCATTTGGTCACAGTGGGACCCGCGGTTATTGGATACCTTTTGAAAAAAATGGTTTTTTCCTGATTGGAGTCGACAACATGAATTACACGTGTACTAAATGATTTTCCGTAAAAAAAGAAAAGAAAAGAAAAAAGCCGATTGGTTGAATCAACCATTAATTGGTTAATTACCTAATTATCCCCAAATATCAACGAATTAATGAAAAGCCAATTAATTTCGTCTGGATATTAAATGTTTCGATTAACGAGCTTAAATTTCCAGCAAAGCCAATTAATAAGTGAACTAATAGGTTTGTTTGAGCGGGGGCATTTGGGGGCAAAGTTGTAATTTAGTTGGAGGTATGCCTGTCCGAACAAATCTGTGTGCAAGGGAGCCGTGGCCACCCACGGATTCGAAGTCCTAAACGCAGTGAAAACCAGATCACAATTAAAATACTAATAAAATAAGCAGTTAGCAGGTGACCTGAGCCAACTTATTCTGCTCTTTTTTTTGTTGTTTTTTTCCTTAAAAATATCATTTTATTTTATAATCTCAATTTAGGACCCGATTTCTACGCCTTAATTCTCTAATTGAATTATAATATCTTTTAATAATTTTAAATCAATTAAAATAACATCCCAACTGCCTTTGTTCAAAACTTTATTTTCTAAAGTTATTGGGCCTTGAAGCTGGGTCGAAAATGGGCCTGGGTAAGCCCACAGTTCGTTCGTTGGTTCCTTTGTCTGTTGCGGTCGACGGCGCCTGAAAGTCTCCCGCGATAAGATTATGTAGGAGTGGACGAGACGCCCAGCATGGCATCCACTCTGCCACTCACTCGAGCTTTTCTCTTCGCCGATGCTTCCAGTCATCTACGCCGGAACTGCCTCAGAAGCTTTGCTTTCTCTGCTGCTTTCTCCTCCGACAGCGTTCACTGCAAGAAATGGAGACACCCGGTCTCTTCACTTTCTGAACTTGGCGGAGTCGCAATTGCGAGAGATGGTAAACTACTCTTTCTTGTTCTATCTTAGCTGTCCATGTTGTTTGGTTGTTTGATTGTTTGATTGTTTGATTGTTATCCTAATCGGCTTCTGACGTTTATTCATTTCTATTTGTGTGATTTTCTGGTTGAACTTCCGCGATGTCGTCAATCGACCATCTTACTATGGATTTTTTGTCCTTTGAAGTTAAATTTTAATGTGATTGAGTTACTAATATTAATGGAGGTTTGCAGATGTTGTGAGAGATGATCCTACGAACAATGTCCCCGATAATATTTTTTCAAAACTTGGTGTGCAACTCCACCGAAAAGATAACCATCCACTCGGCATTCTGAAGAACGAGATATACGACTACTTTGATACAAATTACTCAAATAAGTTCGATAAATTTGATGACCTCAGTCCAATTGTTTCTGTGAAGGAGGTAAGCTTTTTAGCTCATCAATTTTTATTAGAGGAAATTAACAACGATTTGGGAGAACGTTCCTTTAGCTTTAAGGATGAAACAAGGCCAATCTATGGCTATCTTTAGCTCTAGGGAAATGAGTTAATAAGATGCTTTACAGACTTTATATTTCATATTGACCTTTTCAAGGTCTACACAATGGGGAGATAATCATACTCTCTCGGCTGCTGGCTGCTGACCAATCGATATACTGGAATCTGATAGACCTTTCAGAGTAATTGAAGAATTTTTTGTCTAGAAAGTTACAAGTATTTTAGCCTTTCTGTGCGAGCAGGACTAATGACAGAAAATATATACCTGTTTGATTTTGGTAACTCGTATTGCTTCTGTTGTTCAGTATATTGTGAGAACAGACTTAGTTTGACAAATTATCCACGAGTGAGAATTTTTGCCATGCTTGTGTTTCAATCTACAATTAGAAATGCACTGCAACTGTAGGTAATTGCAGGCTTGGAGATGATAGAATTCTAAAACCACGCTTCTTACTCTTGAGTTGCTCAAAAAAAAAAAAAAAAAAAAAAAAA